AAAGACAGTGCAGAGTCATATGGCAGTTCAGAGTTAAATGAAATCCAGAATTCTTGTGAGACAACATTTCCTAATCAACCGATTTATCAGAATTCTCATGCTATTGTACCAAGTATGACTTTTCCTAATGATTCACATATTTCTAATGAAATTACTTGCAATTCTGAGGAAAATATGTTAAATGAACCTAATCATGATCGAAAACCTGATGTGGTTTGGATAGATGCTGATTTTTCTAACGATCATACGCTCTGCAATGACAGTCCTAATGAATTTCATGAGAATATTTCAGAAGAATCAAATCCTGATGTCATATCATATATTACCTATCCTCATAATGTATTTGATCTTCGTGAAAAACCTGCTCAATGCGAAGCACGAGTACTAAGTGACCTCGAGTTTGATTACATTTCGGATGATTTCATATCAACTGCTGTTTACCCTTATCACAAAAACAGTTCTAATGTTTACTCTAAACAATGTGAGAAATATGTTTTAAATGAAGCCACATTATTCATAACCTGGGGATATAAAGATCCAACATTATTTCGTGGGGGGGGGGGGTTGTATTGAAAAATCTATGGTTCGAATTCTAGATATTAATGATTTCATTACAAAACCGACATGCTGGTTGTATACAATTCCAGGTGAGTCTGTTCCGATTTCGTTTGTTAATTCCAATACTAATGAGCACTTTCTAGATACTACAAAATTTTTGTCTTATACAATGTCGGACAGACTCAGGATGAACTTAACAAGAAGAAGTACAACCGATTACAAACACTTATACTTCTATTTAAGCTGTGGCGGATGTGGTGTTTGAATTAACTAATGATTCTTTTGTACTTGTTGAATGCTCGATTTCGAATTCTAAATACAGTACATTCGTTGTGCCTGTGTCTTCTTAATTCAATTGCGTTAATCCTTGAATTCCTAATTCATACTATAATTAGAATACTATATATCCTTTTACTCGTTGACTGACACTGTGTTCGTACTGTGATCATATTGTATTTTACACCTTAATCTGACTAGAATGGTTGGTAGTACTCACAAATGTGGACAACCAAAATGTTTGTTCCCTGTGGAAAAAGGAATGTGGAGTGATGAATGCAAAAAGTGGTTCCATAAGATGTGCACCCGTTTAAGTCCCACCGCACTCAAAAGATGTTTGAAGCCTAACTCACATTGGCTTTGAATGTTTTGCTGTGGAAATAAGACGTTACTAATACAGGAGGCTATGAGCCCATTGGCTTTGGCTTGTAAGAAGAACGAAGGCGCATACGCGGATAACATGAGCACTGACAGTGACGAATGTGTCAGTGTAGTACTTGCTGTTACGAGACGCCTTAAACAACCGACTTTTACTGACAAAAAAGTTAAATCTCTGTTAACACTAACAATGGGGTAATACCACCTGACACTGACATCGGTAACCATGGTCCTCTAGTGGAAACTAAAGATCTGGATAAAACGGTCACTGCTCCAAATAGTAGTAGTGTCCTGAGGGATCAAAAACGCCAACCGTACGGAGAAAACGAAAAGAAAAAAACTGTAGACGGTACGCAGATGGTTAGCAAATCACTGGTGGACTCCGATTATGAGTCATAAAATGCAATAACAAAATTTGGTAGTAAGAGAGAAACCCACCCTGACGTGACTGAGAAGAATAATTTAATATCATTAAATATTATTCTGAGCAAATTGCTGGAGTCAAACGACCCTGATTCCGAAATTAGACACGTGCATGATTTAGAGAAGCTGGGAGAATATATTCGTAGTATCTTACCAGATAACTCTCAAGGAGTTCAGGTCAAAAATCTGGTTAAAATAGGCAAGAGGACTGAGGACACTGCTGAAACCCGACCATGCAAACTCCTTAAGGTAATCCTAGGATCGGAGAAGCAACGTGATCTTCTGTTAATTAGCGCTCTTAGTCACGACGATTCCGGTATTCGAATAAGACCTGATATGTCTCTTGAAGATAGAATAAAAAGGACGAAGGCACTAGCTGAACTAAAAACCTGTCGACAAAACGGTGAGGAATGTCTCCGGCTAGTGGGTTTTCGGATAGTCAGTTCTTGGAAGCGAATGCTACCAAGGCCTGTGTGGATAGGCCGTTCTACTTAGGAGTTTTATATGCCAATGCTCGTAGTCTGAGAAATAAATTCTATGAACTAGAAGCATTGGTGGACAGATTAAAGCCACTCATTGTAGCTGTGACAGAAACTTGGTTAGTCCGTGACTTAGACATTACTCCAGAGTTATCCGGATACCACTACCTAAGTAGTGATAGACATAGATGTAGGAAAGGAGGTGACGTCCTTTTATACATAACCAATAACATAAATATCCGCTCCTTTGCTAGCGAATCCCATGATAACGGAACTTGTGAAGTCACTAGTTCTGGACTGGCTATCGGATGCGGTACATTTATGCTCGGTGTCATCTGTTGCAGCCCAATCTGCTTAGCCGATGACTTTATTTTAGAGCACATTCATCTTTGTAGTGCGAATACCAGATGCTTGGTAGTAGGAGACTTTAATGCATCTGATATAAGTTGGACTGAGATTACCACAGAAGGATCTATAATCTCCTTTGATAGTAGGCTCCTGGTAACGTGTATCCAAAACCACACGTTTTGGTGCTAACCAAGGTTCGTCTCTGTTGGACTCGGTAATCACTCATGATACTGAGGATATTGTCGACCTAAATATTCTTCCGCCATTAGTGAACAGCGATCACGCTGTTTTGTCATTCACGTTTAGAACTAGGCACATGTTATACTATCAGGTTACACCCCGGCCAAATGTATGGAGAGCTAACATATCAGCCATTCAGGAATGCGCTGCTAAGACAGATTGGTTTGCAGATACTAGCATGTCAGTTGAAGAAGCATGGTCTGTATTTAAAGGTAAGTTTAGTTCAGTTACGTCCCCGTTCATGCCAACACCTAGTACCGCGAAGACCAAATAACAGTCCACCATGGATAACTAAAACAGTCAGGAAACTTCTTAGAAAAAGGAGGAAGCACTGGAATATGTTCATATCTACTGGCTTAGAACAATACAGATCCACTTATTGTATGATTAGGAATGCCTGTAAAGCTTTAATAAGTAAGACTAGACGATCATGTGAAAAACAATTGGTTAGGGATTCTAGATATAGTCGGAAACGGTTATTCTCGTATATAAAAAGGCGAACTTAAAGAAGCGATGGAATTCCATCGCTTTTGATGCAAGAAAATCCTTTAATCTTGGAAGAATATGATCCTGAAAAAGCTGAAGCTTTATCGGAATATTTCAGTAAAGTATTTTCTATCGATAATGAGGAACGACCAATGATTCATTGTGATCGCAGCGGCTCGCTGATGTACCCTGTAGTCATTGGGAAAGGCACTGTTTTAAGGCTACGTCAGCATCTTAAACCTGATAAGTTCAGTGGTCCCGATCATATTCATCCTATGATTATGAAAGCCAAATCAGATCTAATTGCTGAACCATTAGCGATGCTGTTTGACATGTCTCTGAGGCAGTCGAGACTGCCCAGAGATTGGAAGGACTCTATAAAAAGTCCGGTGTATAAGGCTTGAAGCAGGGACTTAGTCAGTAACTACAGGCCCGTTAGCTTAACTAGTGCAGTTGTAAAACTGATGGAAAAATCCATTCGGATATCTGTTATAAACTATGTTGAAGGGCATAATCTTTTCTCCAGGGAATAACTTGTTTTTCGGAGAAGCCTATCATGCTCGACAAATCTTCTTTTTGCAATAGAAGATTGGGCTGCTGCAAAAGATCGGAATATTCCTATGGATGTGATCTTCATAGATCTAAGTAAGGCCTTCGATAGGGTCTCCCAATCTGATCTTAAATTCAAACTGGGACGTTTTGGAATCCATTATGCAGTCGTCTATTGGATAAGTAACTTTCTCCATGACAGGAGACAAAGGGTGAGGGTAAATGGAGCTCTCTCCTCGTGGATACGTGTAAAAAGTGGAGTTCCACGAGATACTATTCTCGGTCCTCTTCTCTTTTTACCTTATGCAAATGAATTACCAACTATAGCAAAATCATCCGTTTTACTCTTCGCTGATGACATGAAAATTTGGAGACCTATACACAGTATGTCGGATAAGATAGCACTACAGAATGACTTTAACTCATTGTTGGCATGGTTGGGCAGGTGGTCATTGGAAAAAATCCTAATAAGAGTGTGGTGATGCAAATAAATAACTATGATGAATTGTATCACTATACAATATGTGGATTCGTGTTACCCAAAACAAGAAACTATAAAGATTTAGGAGTCATATTAAGCAGTGATCTCAAAACCACTAGTCACTGTAAGGCTGCCGCTGAGAAAGGCTATGGGGTATTATGGTCTATTCGTAGGTCTTTACAGTATTTAGATGACGAAATGTTTAAATTATTATACCCGATTTATGTGCGACCACATTTAGAATGCGGGATTCAAGCAGCGTGTCCTTGTTTCAAGTATGAAGAAGATATGCTGGAAAGAGTCCAACGGCGAGCTACTAAGATGGTACAAGGTCTATCTGGCCTATCTTATGAAGACAGACTGAGACACCTTGACTTATTTCCGTTACCTTACAGTAGAGTACGGGGTGATCTAATATTGGCTTATCTTATACTGAACGATGACCTTGGTATTAACACGTCTTATCTTTTACTTCCGTCTAGGACTGATCATTTTAGAGGACATTCGAAGAAAGTTCAAAAACCGAGATCAAACCGTTTACGTCTGGAGTTCCGTTTCTCGTATCGAGTAATGAATTACTGGAAGTCTCTACCGGAACACGTAATATCAGCAACTTCTGTTAATATATTCAAAACGAGGTTAGACTTCTACAGTATTACAAACTGCAAGGATTAGTATAGGTCGATAGACCTCCTATTCTTATTACTGAAGACCGAAGACTGGATGTATAGCTGCATCAATGACAAGGTCGTATTTTGACGCGCGAGTATCAACATTAGAAAATGTCTAGGTCGGTTTCTCCAAAGGTTAGGGCTCTGGTGGATCGGATTATTAGAGTTGATCATGCAGGAGAGTTAGGTGCCAATAGAATATACCAAGGACAGCTCATGGTACTTGGGAAATCGAGTATAGGCCCTAAAATAAAGGTAATCTTTCAACAAAGTTACATATCACATGTTTAATTATCATTATGATCTTAATTTAACTCATATATACTATAAAGTATAGCTAACGATCGTAGGGATTTGCCACTTGAATGTAGTTTTGCCCTTACTATTTCAAGAATTGTGAATTAGGATATATGATGTAGTCAGTTATTATACGGAATGTACTTTAGAGCCGCTCCTTCGGTTCGTCTACCTAGAGTTTATTAAGAATCCAGCAGCTCCGTCACTTCATATTTTCTTGGCATTATTTGTGGTTATGAACACTTTCGAACTCACCCAAATGGAATTCATCGCGTTGGACTTGATTAGTTTGGTAGTAACGCCCAATATACTCAGTACACTCACTGGCGAGACTCTAATTTATGGACGACCTTTGGACAAATCTTAAGCGACCTTCAGAAATATTAGCGAATCAACAAACAGTCAGTATAGAGTAAAAATATGTTATACAAAACCAAGGAAATAAAGTGGATACACTTCTTATACGTGGTTCAAAAACTTGTCAAGGTTAGAAAGAGGTTCAGAGGTTCTAAGATCGTAATGCATGCAGTAGAGGAAATCATCCATACGGCTACAAAATAGTTTGCCTCTGGAGCTATGATAAAGTCTCAAAAACTTCCAGCCTCGATCACATAGCTTCAGTATTGTTTATGTGCACTCCGGTTGTTGAGTGCACGAAATGTTACTTGTGGGTAACGACACGACGCACTCAATCAAGCCTATGTAGGAGTTTGTACGCTCTCCAAACATCCGTATATATTGTAGTACTTGGCTGCAGCCAGTGTTACTGGTGCTTTTATTATCCAGTTCTCAATAATTGTCGTAGTTTGCCTTAGTTAGGAATTATATATGGGGCTTTCATCACGAACTGACATCAGCTATAATGCCAGAAATTTATTTAGCCAAACGGAGATCTATTATCTTATACCTGATTGTTTCGTCCACAAATTATAGTCCCGCCGTTTTATTTGATATAACCGCTTAATTATCACGTTTTGTACAAAATTCCCTAAGAACCGATCGTACGTTAGGATTAAGCACTGAAGTTTGCGCCGTAACCTTGAAATCCCTAAAACGCCTCTGAGTGGCTCGTCCATAAATTAGAGTCTCGCCACACATAGATATTGGTACAAGGAAGCACCAAGTACATATGCGCCACACAAATGTCATTTGATATGTTTGAGGGCCGTGATACTGCCCGGGTGCCCAAACCGAAGCAGGTGGTTTTCCTAGGGGGAAACAACCGGAGCCTTCGACATGAAGGTCTTATCCACAAGGCAGTGGAGCATCGTATGGCGATGCAGTCCCATGGTAGCCGGTGACCAACGATTGGTTCCTACGCCATTTGTTCCTTCAGGATACTGGAGCTCATGTGCACCAATGGTTTGGAATCAAGGTTTTCCAACTTCCCTAGGTGGACTCTCTGTGTCCACCAACCCGGTTAAAGCGCCGGAAGTTCGCTTTTCGTCCTTTCAATTTTGTAAACAACACCCCTGCTACGAAAAGGTAGTGAGTAGGACATCCCTGGCAGAGGCTTATCTTGGAAATCTGATCAGCCCTAATAGGCTGGTATCGGACGAAATCTCAGCACGGATTAGAAAGCTCGCCACCATTCGTCAGGTTCTAGAACACAGGCATACTTATCGACGTCCGACAGTAGTGATCTTTCTTGACTTAAAAGCAGCATTTGACTCGGTAGACCCCGAGATTCTGTGGCAGTGTCTGTCATTGAAAGGCGTACCACAGAAGTACATAAACCTTGTGAAGGCTCTTTACTCGAACACTACTAGTCGAGTCAGAGCTTATGGCGAACTGTCATCTACTTTTGCAACCTCAAGTGGTGTCCGTCAAGGCTGTCCACTTCTGTTTAACTTCATCATAGACCTACTGATGGAAATAACACTCTCATCGACTGAATTCTCGGGTATTGATCTCCTACCAGAAGGTGCACTTATCGACTCAGAATACGCAGATGATATAGTCCTGTTTGGTGAAGACGCTGACAAAATGCAGAGTCTTTTGGTAGCACTAAGCAACAATGCCAGAATTTTTGGAATGCGTTTCTCTCCCTCTAAATGCAAGTTGTTGCTCCAGGACTGGCCTGTGTCGACACCTGAACTAAGGATAGGGAGTGAAGTAGTCGAACGCATTGACAACTTCACTTATCTTGGAAGTCTGATCAGCCCTAGTGGGCTGGTATCGGACGAAATCTCAGCACGGATTAGAAAGCTCGCTTGGCTTTTGCCAACTTACGTCACCTTTGGCGAAGGCGAGATATCCGTCTATCAATAAAAGGACGAGTATACTGCGCGGCAGTCCGTTCTGTTCTACTTTACGGCAGCAAAACATGGCCATTAAGAGTAGAAGACACTGGTAAGCTACTAGTGTTTGACCACAGATGCCTTAGAAATATTGCTGGCGTCTGTTGGGATCACCGGGTAAGTAGTAGTGAGGTTAGACGCATGGTATTAGGGAATGATGATAAATCAGTTGATGAGGTTGTGAATCTTCATCGACTGAAATGATTGGGCCACGTGTTACGTATGCCTGAACACCGATTACCACGACGTGCAATGCTATCCGGTATTGGAGATGGCTGGAAGAGAGTTAGGGGCGGCCAAACCAAAACGTGGCATCAGTGCTTGAAGTCACTAACCTCTAGTCTGAGCCATGTTGGTAGATGCAGACTAGTTGGTTGGTGTCCGCGTGACTTTCGTAACCGATGGTTGGAGACTCTTGGTGACATGGCTCAGAATCGATCACAATGGCGTCGGTGTATACACTCTCTGTCTTCCCTTAAACTAAGAGATTAAAATCGCTTCATATCTTTCTTTCTACGAACTAATTCTTTCTTCCTGTACTATATCCTTATATGCAATTTTTCTCCTATATATTACCACCTCTGAATTAACTACTTTTATGAATCCGGTGTCCATCTTGTTGTGGTAATGAGGTGTGGCAACTGGGACCGATGCATAAATGTGCCTGGTCCTACGTTGTAGCTGACTAACTGCAGAGGCTATATACACGTGGCCATGTGAGAGCATTTCGAGAGGGTGAGCGGACTCTCCCGACTCTCGGCCGTACCAGGGCATCATTGCATCTTAAAGAATACTTAGTTCCGAATTTCGGGCCTGTCTGAGAAAGTCAACTCATCTATTGATGTATTCGTTCGAATTCCAAGATATCTTTAGGTGCATGGCAATAATGCTATATCATGATTACTGAACGATAAAAGCATAATTTTTTGAGTTTATATTCAATATGTGGCTTTCAGGTGCTTTTATTTATGTTACTTTCATCACAAGAAATCCCAAAGATACTAGTCATATACATGCTTTTAAAAAGAGTCATTTAACCGGTTGTTAGCGGGACATAGACTAGATTAAAGCATGCTCAATGCATGATTGCTTTGGTGCACGCTGATTGGCTAATTCTTATCCAATCAGCACTAGTCGATAGTTGGAGAATACTCTGGAATCTTCTTATGTAAAAACTATAAATATACTGACGTTTTCCCTATTGTGCTTCTGGCTTGCATCTTGCTTCCATCTAACCTTGTTATTTGGAATATAATCTCTTTCCTGTTCAACCGTGTTCTGATTTGGGGACTTGTCGAGTGAATCGGTGTCCGAGAATACTAAGCAATAGGAATAGCTGGGTCATAACCGTAAGAAAGAGAGAGATATAACAGTGGCGACGGGGAAAAAGGAAAGAAAAATGGCGATTTCTTTAGAACAGTTGCGGTTAATATTACAGCACCAGCAGAAGTTGTTAGCCTTGCAACAACAACTATTGAGCACACTTTTCACTCGACCAGAAAATAAGAAATCTGTTTATGATGCAGTAACAGACATTTCAGAAGCATATCTAGTCGAGGGTTCAAATCCCTTTATACCTGAATCAGAACGTAATATTTGTAACGTGTCCGGCTCACAGCAAGAAAATACTGTGCTGAATGCTCATAAAGTTGTGGCAATACGAGATGATCAAGAGCCAGACCCTGTAGATGAAGCACGGAGTCCAGAATTGAATGAAACACTACTGGTCCTGTCTAGCTCCGAAAATTAATTTCAGCTAGAACAAAATTATGGTCCACGTGATATTAGCCGAAAAAACTATGAGGACTCGTATTCAGAAAATAACTGCAGTGACACGATGAACCCAAATATACTGAATGTTACTCAAAATCATTGTGAGATAGAAATTTATATTGAATCAGCTTATCCGATTTCTAATGACAATCTATCAGATATGGGTTCTCAGAATAATGCATGTAATTTTGATGAAATTTCTTATAAAAATGAGGAAAATATGTCGGGTGAGTCAAATTATGATCAAAAGTCTAATTTAATTTTGTTAAATGTTGATTTCCGTAATGATCCATTATCCACTGATGAAATTCCTAATGGATTTGAAAGTAATGCTTCAGAAGAATTAAACTCTAACCTCAAATCAAAGGTCGTTCATTATCATCTAGTCATTTCTAGTGGATCCGACATTCAATGTAAGAAACATCGTTTAAATAAAGTCCTATTATTTGTAATTTGGAGACATAAGGACCCAACATTATTTCGCGGAGGAGGAGAATGTTGGAGAATTAAAAGTTATGTATACTTTTATTTTCAAAAAAAATAAAAACGCCGGGAACAGACATGTCAGTCTCTGTGCGAGAAAAAAAAGTGATAATTCTTTATTGCCTAGACGATAAACTAATCGGAAGCACAAGCCAGTCACTCAGTTGCAGTTGGACCCTAGCATCAGATCCTACGAATCTGCTCAGAGGGGAGGTGTTAGCAGGACATAGACTAGATTAAAGCATGCTCAATGCATGATTGCTTTGGTGCACGCTGATTGGCTAATTCTTATCCAATCAGCACTAGTCGATAGTTGGAGAATACTCTGGAATCTTCTTATGTAAAAACTATAAATATACTGACGTTTTCCCTATTGTGCTTCTGGCTTGCATCTTGCTTCCATCTAACCTTGTTATTTGGAATATAATCTCTTTCCTGTTCAACCGTGTTCTGATTTGGGGACTTGTCGAGTGAATCAGTGTCCGAGAATACTAAGCAATAGGAATAGCTGGGTCATAACCGTAAGAAAACAGAGTTATAACACCGGTGTGTTATAATTTTCGTGTTTCTGAGTTATTTTAGATTGCTCTTGTCTTTCCAAGTTGTCCCATGCTTTTTTTGTAATGTCCAACAATGGTGGTTAGATATTCTAGTTTGTATTTTCATAATACATAAAGTGTTCGCAAAGCTGTAGTGATAATTTAGTACTTTATTCATAGGAAATGCATGATCAAGAAGTGGAACATTTGAAAAAATTCCAGGAACTTATTCCTATTCATAGAGTTAGACCTACATTACTTTTGCCTTTGTGGAGCATTGCTGGGTTTACACTAGGTGTGGGAAGTGCGCTTTTGGGTTCGAAATGTGCTATGGCCTGTACCGTTGCTGTCGAGTCAGTGATTTCTGAACACTACAACAATCAAATTCGTGAGCTTGTTGAAAGTGACCCTGAAACCTATCAAGAATTGCTGCAGGTTAGTTGATATTTGGATAGTTTACTGTTTGGTTTTATATATTTGTTGGTGTACAACAGTGTAATTTGATCCTACTTTTCTTGTTAATCAGTTATGAAGAACGTAGAGCCTGGCGCAAATTTTCATCGATCCGAGTTGCTGCATTCCACATAACATCAAGAGAGGAAATTGCTAAACAAACAAAGATAGGTGAGAAATAATGTCGAATTCAATGTAAAGCTTTATAGTAGAAACATGATTTAAAAGGGACGATAAAAGTATTGAAAGTTTGGAGAAACGTAGTATTAAAGATCTAGAAAAAGAGAGGTAATAAATTCAAGTGCACCATTCTAAACTATTTTATCCAACCATAGATTACGATCATTACAGACCCTGTCTTGGAATTTTACATCCACTGACATGATTCAGTACATCATTCATTAAATCCATGGTTCAGTCCCGTATCTTTGTTTAGCTACTTGTAGCATTTCGCATTGTGCATCGTTTTAGGTTGTGGTATGGCACTAACAACGTTTCAACCACTTAAGTTAGTGAGAGTAGGATAATCCAGTCAACCGGCTTACAATTCCTACCTAACATTTTATACTTAACTAGATATTATAACAACTGATCTCATGCTTGTTAAATTCTTGTCCGTAAAATAGTTCCGTACACCTTATGGTCCAATCTATCCACCTTCGAAATGGAGTTTGATTATTGTTAACTTCGATATAAAGGTTTTTCAAGTATAGTCAAAGCGAATCAAGATAATTTCAAATATATTGTCCTAATTTTGAACATTTAAAAGATTTGTGTGACTAATTCTTTGCTCAAAAACATATGCAGAAGTCCTTCATGTGTAGTTTACTTGTGTTTAATAGGAGCCTGAAATCATCTTAGCATTGGCTTCATTTTTATATTTGTAGATTCTGTATGAGTACATCCAAGGTTGATGGTTTGTTGTTTAACTCCTGTTCCTGGAACAGGATGTATTAATCACCAGAACCTGCACAGCAAAACTGGAGACTCAAGTGTATCGAAAGCCAACCCACACAGATCAAATTCTTAATTACAGTAACAACGACCGTAGAGCCCACAAAATCAACTGCGTACAAACTTCGTTTAGGAGGGCGGGGACACACTGCAACACACTTGCAGCGCAGAAAAATGGAAATAAATATCTGAAGGCAATCTCCCAATAAAACGACTATTCAATCAACTTCAAAAAATACCAACAAAACGCCTCAGTAGAAACAAAATCAAGTATAGAAGCCGACAAATGGATAATCCTACCATATGTAAAAGGCATATCAGGAATTGTAGCGACATTGTTGGAGCCTTTTGGAATAGGTGTGGTACACAAACAAACAAAATCACTTCAATCAATCCTACACAAGTCAAAGGAAGAAAGGACAAAAGAAGAAAAACCGAACATCATCTGCAAAATAAATAGTTTTAACTGCGAAAAACACTAAATCGGACAAAGCGGACGTCACCTTCACCTTTGCCTGCATGAACATCAATTAGCGGTCAAACGCCATGATACATCCTCGCTTATATCAATGCTTTTGGACAACTGTGGACGGACATTCGACTGGGAAAACGCTGAGATCTTGCATAGAGGCAATTCTAAAAACACTAGAGAATTTTAGATGCTTGGCACTCAGGTTAATCAGCCATCAACAAACACATTGAAATCCATCCAATTTATCAATCAATCAGAAAAATTATGGACAAATATAGGACCAGAACCAACACAAGAAAACTGGAGACTCAAGTATATCGGAATTGAATCAGTGGCCGATATAATCGAAATAAAGAGGTAAACAATGAAAGGTTAAGGGTGAACAATAACCAGTCAAGACCGAGGTCTACAGGACAAGCTATGAGCCAAATATGGATAAATTTGAACACTTCACTTCTACCTGAATTTTATGCTGCTAATGATGTCGTTCAGAATAACGATGAAAGCTCCACGACCAAACCATCCAGCTCAGAGAACAAAACTCCTCCAAAATATTTCTGTATTTTGATGCAAGACATTTAATTGGTTGGTTTACCGCATGGATGTTAAGTATTAAGTGTCTCTGATTCAAAGACCACTTGGAAAATATACTAACTACAGACTACAAAACATACAAGTTGTTTCGCATATTTTTCCTTGAAATTCAGTTATGTTACATGATACTACTCACCACAAAATATATAATCTATTCACATATTGTTCTTCTGGTACAATAATTGAATCACTAGGACTTTGCTTATCCTCTGAGTCATTCACTATAAGTTTGAGCTGCGTTGGTAGTTGCAGACTATTAAATTATAAGTTGTGGAGATTGTTAAGTTCCTGATTAAGATCATGAACCGATTGATGTTAGACCACCATTGAAAACCTGCAAGCCCTGGACGGCCGTTTCGTCCTATTGTGGGACTCCTCAGCAGTGCGCATCCACGATCTCGCTCGCGGGATTCGAACGCAGGGCGTTCAGTCTCGTGCGGTCGAAACCCTTAACGACTCACCCTAACGTGTTTTGGTTTAACTTATCCTATTTCCTTGGTGGCTAACGTCACCTGCAATTACAATATCCAAGAGCACAGCATAATTTTATTTTCCCACTTTATGTTATTTTAAATACTCATTGGTAAAGTATCATAAAATATATTTTAATTGGTTTTGCATGCTTCTAGACACTAGCCCAGTTTCGGGATGAAGAAATGGAGCATCATGATACAGGCCTTGAACATGATGCTGAACAGGTAAGTTATTATGAATGTATAATTTAAAAATAAAATCAAAAATAGTCTACTTTAGTATACATTATGTATAGTGTAGAAAGTATATATTTTTAACTTGATTGTTAAACAGGTGATGCAGCTGTTTAATGTCTTAATCATGTCTGTCGTTTACTTCTTCTATACTGTTAACATCTTACCATAAATGTGGTTTTTCATAACTTATGAACCTAAAACTTTGACTAAGTAGTTCAAATTTCGAACTCTTCAAACAAAAGTTGATTATGGTAAAATTTAGTTTAATCTCCTTTCTTTATTATTATGAATCATTCTCTTTCACACATATCTATACATCACAGGGAGGTATGAATAGTTTGTGTGTCTCATGCATCGTTTGTCCGTTAATTTAACAGTAAGATAACGATGGGCTTAGATGGTATTCTGAAAAGACGAAGTATATTAGACCTATACGAATTTTCATACAGTAATATGTAGTTCCTTCTTTTTTCTATTAAAAATCATTGTTTTCATTTAGTCAAAAATGTTTTTTGGTGTTATCAACAACCATGAGTAAAACTTAGTTGATATTTAATGTTTATATGAAACACGATAATTTGATGATGGTATCAGTTATACAGTGTATAATTGGGAATATATTCAACATGAGTAAATAAATGGAACTCATTGGATAATTCAGCTAACGCTAATCTTTTATTTTGTGTAAGTGCTTACAAGTATGTTTCGGATAAATCAAAAATTAGGAGTAAGTTGCTTCCTTCTATCACTGAGTTCACATTAGCCTCACTAGCATAATTTTATTTATAAACTTGAAGTGAGGCAAGAATAAGAAATTGAACAGAATCATGTAAATTTGTTTAAAATTAGTCCTTATCAATTCGTGGTTAGTGTAAATAGTTTGTTGTCCTTCAATCCTCATTAATCTGTCATGCAGTCAGTAATTTTAGTTACTTTCTGACTAGTTATTAAATTAATGGTATTAAATCCACGGAAGATTATCCACTTTTTATTAGGTTAAATACCCTTCAATGAAGTAACTTTTTCTTCATATTGCACAACAAACTTAATCGTCTATTGACATTATTCATTGATTTATATCCAAGCTAATTATGTCAGTACATTATTGGGTGGTTGTAGAGACAACGAATTCCTAATCATATGCTTTTGACGTATCAAAGTAAGACACAGAATGTACACCCTTCCACGGTGTGGGCAACCGGGAAGTGATAACCACCCTCATACCTCTAACAGCACTCAAGATCACTGTATTCATAATCAACCTCCCTCTTTAATTCCTATTATTCCTCCTACATCGACTTCAAACTCTAAACTTTTTCTTTCGGCTTCCCCCTCAAGTGTCACCATAGCCAACGATTCTAGTGCTCAAAACACTGTCCTAGGTCTACTGAAACCTCGCTCCACACTACACATTGGAGCCTTCAATGTACGCACCCTATGTCAAATCGGTCAGCAGGTTTCCCTGGCTAAAACCCTAGAATCTCGTACCATTGATGTATGCTGTGTCTCCGAAACACACATACAGGATCCCAGTGTGGTCATTCACTTGACCTCACCTCGGCAAAACGGAGAGCCAACGAGATACACCCTCCGTGTTTCTGGTGACGCGATGGCCAGCTCTCGTGGACTGGCAGGAGTAGGGATAGCACTGAGCATGAGGGCGGAACAAGCACTATTAGAGTGGATCCCCGTCAACAGTCGTCTATGTGCTGTTCGGCAGCAGTGACATCTATTAGCGACTTAAACCACAGAGTTTCAAAGAACCAGTGGATTTCTTCAAGGTCCATTGCACTGATGGATTCTCGTAAACTCATCCCATCAGGTTCCGAACATGATGAAGAGCGACAACAAATCAGATCTAGGTTAAGAAAAAGTCTAAGAAACGACCGTGAGCAGTGGTGGGCAACGAAAGCAAAAGAGATGGAAAAGGCGGCGAATATAGGGAACACAAGACAGCTTTACAGACTAATAAAAGAAACTGGAATTAATAAATCAAGTGTAAGTGAGATTATTTCGGAAAAAGACGATACTCTCATCTGCTCCCAGTCCAGACGTTTAGAACGATGGGCGGAACATTTTAGGGAACAGTTCAGCTGGCCTTCAGCTACTCTACAACTACCCTCCGTTCTCAGACAGTGTGAATGGAACATTGAAGTAGGTCCCCCAACTCTAGCAGAAGTTCAAAAGGTTATAGTTAATCTGAAACGAGGAAGGGCAGCTGGTCCAGATGAACTGGCTCCAGAGGTCTTTAAGGATGGTGGTCCAATTTTAGCGATTAGGTTGACTAATATTTTAACTAAGATCTGGGAGTTAGACGTTATTCCATCTGACTGGTCACAATCACTTATCGTCCCAATATATAAGAAAGGGCCAAAATCATCCTGTGACAACCATAGAGGGATTAGTTTAACTAATATAGTATCTAAAATACTAGCCTCGATAATTATCAGACGCTTAACTAAGACTCGTGAACTGCAAACACGAGAGAACCAAGCTGGCTTCAGACCTGGTCGTGGCTGCATCGACCACATATTCACCATTCGTCAGGTTCTAGAACACAGGCATACTTATCGACGTCCGACAGTAGTGATCTTTCTTGACTTAAAAGCAGCATTTGACTCGGTAGACCCCGAGATTCTGTGGCAGTGTCTGTCATTGAAAGGCGTACCACAGAAGTACATAAACCTTGTGAAGGCTCTTTACTCGAACACTACTAGTCGAGTCAGAGCTTATGGCGAACTGTCATCTACTTTTGCAACCTCAAGTGGTGTCCGTCAAGGCTGTCCACTTCTGTTTAACTTCATCATAGACCTACTGATGGAAATAACACTCTCATCGACTGAATTCTCGGGTATTGATCTCCTACCAGAAGGTGCACTTATCGACTCAGAATACGCAGATGATATAGTCCTGTTTGGTGAAGACGCTGACAAAATGCAGAGTCTTTTGGTAGCACTAAGCAACAATGCCAGAATTTTTGGAATGCGTTTCTCTCCCTCTAAATGCAAGTTGTTGCTCCAGGACTGGCCTGCGTCAACACCTGAACTAAGGATAGGGAGTGAAGTAGTCGAACGCGTTGACAACTTCACTTATCTTGGAAGTCTGATCAGCCCTAATAGGCTGGTATCGGACGAAATCTCAGCACGGATTAGAAAGCTCGCTTGGCTTTTGCCAACTTACGTCACCTTTGGCGAAGGCGAGATATCCGTCTATCAATAAAAGGACGAGTATACTGCGCGGCAGTCCGTTCTGTTCTACTTTACGGCAGCAAAACATGGCCATTAAGAGTAGAAGACACTGGTAAGCTACTAGTGTTTGACCACAGATGCCTTAGAAATATTGCTGGCGTCTGTTGGGATCACCGGGTAAGTAGTAGTGAGGTTAGACGCATGGTATTAGGGAATGATGATAAATCAGTTGATGAGGTTGTGAATCTTCATCGACTGAAATGATTGGGCCACGTGTTACGTATGCCTGAACACCGATTACCACGACGTGCAATGCTATCCGGTATTGGAGATGGTTGGAAGAGAGTTAGGGGCGGCCAAACCAAAACGTGGCATCAGTGCTTGAAGTCACTAACCTCTAGTCTGAGCCATGTTGGTAGATGCAGACTAGTTGGTTGGTGTCCGCGTGACTTTCGTAACCGATGGTTGGAGACTCTTGGTGACATGGCTCAGAATCGATCACAATGGCGTCGGTGTATACACTCTCTGTCTTCCCTTAAACTAAGAGATTAAAATCGCTTCATATCTTTCTTTCTACGAACTAATTCTTTCTTCCTGTACTATATCCTTATATGCAATTTTTCTCCTATATATTACCACCTCTGAATTAACTACTTTTATGAATCCGGTGTCCATCTTGTTGTGGTAATGAGGTGTGGCAACTGGGACCGATGCATAAATGTGCCTGGTCCTACGTTGTAGCTGACTGTCTGCATGTGAAGCTGTAGATGAATCCAATTTAAAGTGAAAAATATCCGTTTAAAACTCTTATGTATATGTTAATAGGACATAATGATTATATCACAGTATTACTACTTTAAAACCATTTAGATGTAATTGAATAACAAATACAGCTCTACAGCATTAATAAAAGGGTTTAAATGATAAGACTGGTGATCAAATTATTGACTTCATAGAAAAGTTCTAGTGTTATGTAAAAACTGGTCTGATAACCATCCAACAAAATGATTGACAGACTGCCTAAAGAGTTGCGATTTGCAATTTATAATTTCTTTAACATATTTCTTAATTGCTAAGTTTAGTCTTATTTAAGGTGTTTTCAGACACTCAATTATTTTTTTAAACGACAGTTGATATTTAGCATAGTTACCTCTTTAATTTAATCTTTTTTTATGATTTAAACTGTACTCTTGTCATGTTGTCTTAGAATCTTTTGTTTTATTGCAGGCTCCTTTCTATAATATCATGTCTCAAATAATTAAAGCGGGTTGTCGAGCAAGTATTTTTTTGGCTGAACGTATATGATAAGAAAATCAGTTTCAATACTAGTTACTTTGTACATTTATTAATGGTTACTCTCTAAATTATGTGTTCTCACTTTATCTCGTGTGATGTAAATTTTTCTATAGATTTTGATTCTTCCGTAATATTTTGGTTTATTTATATGCATTACAACTGTTCGCCATCGTTTTTTTATTGGTAGGGAGTTCAATTTAGCCTTAAGAAGATTCATGAATAATTGTACGTTGGTTTTTGTCATTAAAGACCCCATCAACCATTCATTACTACGTTGTGTGAATTATATTAATCAAATCAAATATCCGGACCAAATAATTCAGCTGTAATTAAATACTTCATTTAGTTTTCAGCCAAAAACTGCTATGTATTATTAATTGAAGCTAAACCAATTATCATGATTCTAATGAAAATTCTACCTATCTTGTTTAGTGACGGTGACCTATCTATTCAGTGCTATATTCCCAGTACAGTAGGGAATTTGACCGTGAGATACTTAGATATTTTCCTTTCGTTTGTTTAAACTAGAGAATGCATACATTTGCATATAATAAATAAAAATGACTATTAAAATGCCTATAATAGTTTGTTAGTGCTTACATATCTTTAACTGCAAAGATTGTTCTCTGATCCTTATTTTACGGAATATACGTCGCAAAATATAAGTGCCGAATAAGATATCGTAGATATCTTGTTCTTCTATTTCAGAGAGTAAGTTCTAGCATACGTGTGTCTTGTTTCTTCACATTTCAGACAGTGGCCATTCTTAAGTGTAGCACACGATCCATATATAGTCAATTAGTACTTACTAGTTTGCAAAATTTTAAGTAATTACCTACGACCTTATGTTAAGCATGATAAAATTGTGGCCCATTTTTTACATTTATACGAAAGGATGCCTACAGCTCGCTAAAAACTAACATCTCTAAATAGGCCTACTACATTTCCCTACGCAGCTCTCAAAGAACTACTACTAAATTGTGATAAAACCTTCGATTCGGATTTGATTGACTCTTGTGGTTCTAATAATCACATACTGTCATTATTTACAACTTTGATTAATTTTCCCACATCAGATGTTTTATATGATCTTATTGTTGACACTAGTAGTATCAATTCAATCACTTCAACCGAAAAGTTGAAATCCTTGTTTATTTGGACACATAAATATTGGTACAAGAGGGCACCAGATATATATGTGCTACACTTCATTTCATTTTAATTAAGTGAGGGGTGTGACACTGCCCGGGTGACCAGACCGGAGCAAGTGATTTCCTTAGGGGGCCACATCCCGGGCCTTCAACCTAAAGGTCTGGCCCACAAAGTAATGGAGCAGCCCCAGGAGATGCAGTCCCATGCTAGTCGGTGACCAACGATTGGTTCATACGTCATTTGCTCCCTCAGGATCCTTGAGCTCATGTACACCATTGGTTTGGACTCAGAGTTGCCCAACTCCCCTAGGTGGACTCACCGGCCCGGTTAAAGCGCCGGATATTTGCTTTTCGCCCTCTCAATTTCGTAAACAACACCCCCGCCAGGAGTTCCCTGGCAGAGGCTGTATACGCATGGCCATGTGAGAGCATTTCGAGAGGGAGACTGGGCTCTCCTCACGCCCAACCGTACCAGGGCCTTTGGGGGCTGAAATAATTAAATTTTAATAATATGATTAAGCCCACCAGAATTGCTGGTGATAAACTTATTCTTTGGTGTTGACAATAGAATCGCTTAAACAAAAATGTGTTCGCCTGGACATGTAACGTTTGCAGTCTGCCGAGGCTAAACGCCATCAAGTAACTGATCTTTAACTACCCAGAAATATTGGTAAATCTATGTTTCTTGCGAACGCCAATAACACCAGTTACAAGGACCCAAGTGAGTCCGTCTTTGATCCTAATGCTAATGGTTCATTCTAGATCATGCATGTTCTACACCCAGTACACAGCCAGATATATACATGATGGATACACGGAGAATACATCTAGTAGTTCGTATATATCTAGATCCTCATTTAAGCTGTGGTTATTATGGTATTTGTACTATTTGTTAATTTCCTTGTTTTTGATCGCACACTTGTTACGAATGCCAAATATAAGAAGTTTATTGGTGTTCATCTAGTTCTACCTATATTAGGTGGAACTGTTCTTAGTTGGCAAATCATTTCGAATACTTCTGATTGCATACGTACCTAACTCCAATGCTGGACTCGATTAAAGATACCCCAAGTATTCAGAGTTTTACAACACCATGTACAGTAACACCTTTTATAGTGGAAACGTGTCAACTTATTCGAATCATAAGTGAAGGGGTCCAGAGATTGTAAGATCCATTTTGAATGTTTTGTGTGTTGGTGAAAATCCCTCCATGTATATACTTGTACTTTGTTCCTATTGATCCCCTTAGTTGTACATTGTTGTATTTTGGTTACATTTGAATTGTTAATACTTGTATTTTTTATTATAATTTTGTTTTTATTACGCATTCACTAAGTTTGTGTTTCTTCCTGAACTGCATCTGTGTTGTTTTACTTGACACTTGTTCTTGGCGGTAGCCATATTGATTTGTTCCTCCTGTTGTGTGTGATCTATCCAGTCAGGATAGAATAACGTTCATTTGTTGTAACTGGTAATTTTTCCTCATCTTCTATCAACTTTATTTATTGTAATTTAGATTTGATTGGTTGAACAATCATTGGTTGAATAGCCGGGTGGTAATATTTGTTTAGGTAACGATTTACATTTAAATTTATGATGAATTATAGAACCGCTATTTACCCGATTACTTGTTTTGATTTCGACGGGAAAGGGCGCGTGTCTAAAGTCCCCGGTCGGCTATTCTTCAACATCCAAACCGTAGTTTGGATTCTACAGAGATATGTTTGGTAAAATATCGAGAAGTGACTGATGTCGAAGACCTTCAGATGTATTGATTTTTGGGATTAATTTACCGCTACACGGTTAATGAGAAGTGGTGATTGTGCCTTTAAATTTGTTCATGGATGTGTACAGGTATATCTCGTTTATACTTCGGAACCTGATTTGTTCACTTAAATCAGCTGTGATCACAATATCTGTGGAATGTAAATCTTTTAGATTTACGAGATGCCGGTTGGGCTCACTCCTGATCCCTTGAAATATACAATCTGTTGTAGGTTAAGGAAATAGGTCGCTGCTCATATAATCTAAAGACACATAGGCGTCTATTGATTGATATCAAAATAACTAGTCCTTTATTTTGCTCTTATGTTTAATACAACAAACAATACAGACTGCATGTTAGTGTTAAAATGTCCTCAATTGCTTAGGACTTCAGTAAAATCTTGAATGCAGTCCGCAGAAACACGGTATACCTTAGTATTTGGATTTTCGAAATACGTAGTCAAGTTTGTCTGTTACTCGATCAGAATCAACCTGCAAACTCTGAAAGAGGTCGTTTAAATGACATTTGTGGTTTCAGCAGGACCGCGTTATATCTCGTTTCGATGGCAACATTCAATAAGTCTATCTTTCAGAGACCTGTGACTCCCTGAATAGAGTAGAATGCCTGACAAATACGAGCTGTCGAGTAAATTGAAGAACAAAATTATACGAAAAAAACGGAGGGAAAAACTGAGGTAAAATGAACCACGTGCGTTTCTAAAGGCGTACCTGTATCTGTTGTTGGTTTAGCTGTCAACGGAGTTTATACTTGTCAGTTCGCGCTAGGGATTAGTTAACTGGTACCCATTCCTGCATTGGAGTTGATAGGATGATAGTGTGAAGCAGGATGATGAAATGTATGTTGGATATTTATTTCTGACATTGATATTCGGACTTCTGTTGGAACTGAACATCTGAAGATGTTTTCAATTTCGTTTAATTGGCTGTTGTTGATAACTGCCTCCAGCAAACTTTGCATCCTGTACAAAGCTATTCGTTTCTTTTAATTAAAAGTGGCATATTTCTGTGTTGGTTGTGATGCTATCCGATAACTCATAAATAAGGGTGGTTCTGTTGAAAAAGCACTTTCTAGGCGCAAAAGTGACCAAGCGTTTGTCACCATAATGGAGTTTATATAGGTGATCGACTTGAGGTTTTAATCCACTCGCTTCTTCAGGACCTTGAAACCTATATAAAACGCATTACAGTCTTCGGTCAACAAAATAATGATAAGTATCAAGATGTTTTTGGTGATACCCAGGAGATAATGAAGCCCGAATTTAAAAATTCGGGGATTCACAAAATTTGTTGTCATTGTTAATGATTATTAACATTTTCTACGAAGAACAGAAAATAAACCTCTGGCAAGATCAATGAAATATGAAACATATTCCCGAGAGACGAATTGACCTTCGTTTAACAGCCTCCAAGAATTGATGACCTAAATTGACTGATCTCATGGGGACATTTTAAGTTATCGCAAAATAAGAAACATCAAAAGACGTATTCCTTCGAAATAAACTTCACTAAATAATTTGGTGTTTCAAATTCATTTTATCTTTACGACTGACAAATAGTTGATAATTGGCGATCACTCTGAGACTAATTAAAACTTTTATGGCATCATTCTAAACTGTTCATGTAGATACTCATATTCTATCATAAAATCCTACTACATTGCTGATTTACCTTCAAGTTCTTCTTATAATACACATGATAACGTTAATTATCTTTCTTCTTCACAGAGATAATTATTAAATTATTCACACATTCCATTCTCCTTTCCTTCCGTTTTTCTATAAAGTCCATTTAATGTTCGCTAAATACTATAGGATCGTTTAAATATGGCGAACATAACATAAGTACTGTTGAAACTGATATATAGTTGCACCTCTCAAGAAATCTGAAGTGGTTTCGCCGCAGTACTGTTTTATCAGTTAGCTCTCTAATAACAATAATAATTATCATTATGATTCTGGTTTAAGACGATGCTTATTGGCATATATTCCCTATTCCATAGATATGTGTTACTCTTCAGTCATTTGATTCATCTCAAAACCAACAGATGTTGCCTGGTATTCTACGTCGCAAGCATTTTTTGACTATCCTTTCCAATCCCATGGATAACATTGTCGAAATTGAATTTTAATTGAGCCAACGAATAGTTAACTCACACATATAGTTACCAATCATTCTTGATTGTTTTCAAATTAACTCAGTCAACTTATTACCTTCATCTGACGACTAGATTCCGGATATCGTAAAAGCTCTTGAAATGAAGTTTTTTGCGAACCCAAACGAAGTTGGTGATCTCCGTAATATGATTGCCTGATCTCTAACTCTCCAAATAATTGCAAACGATCTCAAAGTCCTCGTAATGGGCGTTTGTGCTGAAGACTTTCGTCAACTAAATAGAGACGGAGAGCCGTCTTCGGTTTTGCTGTTGCAGTATTGTCCTGAAATCGCAGAAAACTCCGAAGGTTTCCCGATCTCAAGTTGGCTAAAGCAACTATCATTTCGGATAACTACCACACAAACATACGTCGGTTACAACCGTAGTGTATAATACTCCATTCTATTATGCATCATAGATAGGCTGACTAAAGTTTGTTGCTAATATCCAGTCTTCAGAAAAGTCAATAGAAAATGCGTAACCAACTACTGCAAAGAAGCTGCAAGCATTACACATAATACTACGTTACTATCTGAGATTTATACTCCATTATGGACCACATGGTTTAAAATACTACACCTCCAATAAACACGAAACTCAGAAGTCAGAATGGACAACTTGAAATCCTTACCCTTAGAAAGCAACTGCTTTCTCGTCTTCCCACATTTAAAAGACACATACCTACTCTGCGAGTAGGTATTTTAAAGAAAGACATAAAACTGAAAAACAATGAAAGAAATTGGATAAGTGGCATGTCTTATTTTTTGTGTTTCTTATTCATGCTTGTGCATTAGATTACGTTTCACTGTTTAGTGAACTTTATCTCCTACTCGTATTGGTCATTTCAGAAGCTGTTGTTGTACCACTATTCTTCAAACAGTTATTGGACACAGTTTACAGATACCGCAAAAGTTAGAGCGTACGTCACACAAGTGTGAAGTATGTGGGATATGTTAATATTAAATCACTCATTTGCTGAATTATATATACTGATCAGTCCTGCTTATTTCGGTAAACTGCGGTCTTACTGTGTCACAACTGTTGTTTAATAACAATTACTACACATAAAAATCCTTTACTTAGTAAGAGAAGTAGGTTTTTTATTTCTCATTGCAATGTCTTCGTATAAAAGGTCAATTCCTCTTTAAAAATGTTAACAAACGGGTCTCACCTTGTCTGCTTGAGTAGAGTGCTTCAGTTAACATTCTGACAGCTGAGATAGAATTCTTACTTACAATTTATTAACAAATTATTTTTCGGGTTTTTCGTATTGTTTTCGGATATAATTAGTCTTTGAGAATGTAATTCAGTCAAACGTAATAACACCAGAGTATTTTATCATTACTTGTAATGCGAATATAAGATCGTCACTCGATTTACGATGGAATAAGTAAAATTGTATTCATTTACATGGGAGGCTGCAAAGTTTGATTTTTATTTAACAGACATAGGATAAATGTCTGGATGCAATATTTTGGGTTGTCCCACATAATAAAGTTATGAAGCTTGACGCAATTTTTGTTAGAAAATTTTAATTCAATGGGATACAAACTCTCGCCCTCCCCCACATTAGATGCTCAAGCCCCTGTTGTGACGATTCGAAAACTAGGTTCATCATTCGGCAATTCTATAAAAAGTGGGTAAAGTCTTGAAGTGGTACTGTGTGGAATCTGATCTTCCCTGTGTCGCGTAGTTTTGAAGTTATTCCATATACACTTCCATTTATTTTTCTGAAACCACCTAATTTTCGAACAGCTTGGCTATTGTCCGTACTTATCTTCTTCCACAATTTCGCTTCTTCAGAAGCCATTACTTAGCGACAACCTCTTATCGTAATAGTTTGGGTTTTGAAATCCATAGCGACCAAATCTCATGAAAACACTAACTGTCTCAATGTACAAGTAGCTAGACCCACTCCTCTGTTGTCTGGTTAAGGTCTGAAGTTGTATACGGGAAATAACCGGGTTTTGTGAAGTGTTAACTAATATATTTGTATTAAAATCACTGCACTTACGCAACAAACTTCAGATTTGTGATACGTAAAACGAATGGTAGAGTAACAAATCTATATCTATAAAGCGTTATATCTTAACTTGATAATTTAGCAAGTTTCTAGGAAAACTGATATACTGAAATCTAATTTTTACTCGGAATAATTTAAGTTCCCAGGTGGTCAACATAAAGCTTAATTGTTTCTGAGCAACCAGAAGCCTCGGAAAAATGTTGGGAAACTTTATATATATTAATTTCACTGTCTTTCCTATCCTTATATTTCCGAATTATAACGTTATGAAAATGATGATATTTCTGAACAATATCTCCCTGGTTCCAAAACATCTGATGAATGCCTGTAGAAAATATCACCTTTGTTTACAGCATATTAGTGACAACGGTTCTTATACTCAGCTGCTGATTGCCTTCACAATTAATTAAACACCATCGATCTACCTACCTTTGGTTATCCAATGGTTATTGATCCAGTTTGTATGCATTTCATTTTATAAGAGAATATAGCTTTCTGTTGTCCAAGATACCTTGATCTAACTTTTAACCTTTTGGCCTTTTTCTAGATCATCCTAGATTTCTTTGTTCACTACATCATTATAGTCTCTGGATTTCATTTTATTGAAGTTACAGTCTTCAATAGAAAAAACCAAGGTCAGTCTGTAATGACTTGGGTTCTCCTCTGGTTCTTATACTCATTTGTTCAATGCGATGACGAAAAATTAGATACCCATTTTGTTGGAGGTAAGTTTTTAAAAGTCATAAAGAATAAAGATAATTCTTACTCAGCAAACTTGTTTGGTTCGATTGTCTGTAATGTCCTGTTTCGTAAACTATAGTGACCATGCTATTCCAGAAGAAAGTATATTCTCTCAGCGTACCTTGTTTTATGGTTTATCACAAGCTGATCCTGAATCGTTACTATCCTGATTGTAGTGTATTGAAACAAGCTTGGCTCGTCAAGGTTGTGGCTTAAGCTAAGTAGTGATTTCTGTCATTGATCAGCTGTTTTCCGTGACTGCGAAATACGTCTACTTTCATAATAAAACGGAACAAGACTACTTTTCCAATTCAAGAAAGGTAACAAGTCTGTAGGAGCAGGCTGATTTATTCATCAACCACTAATTAAACGACATCCAGAGTGACAATAATAAATTGCGTGTCATTTTAAAAGTTTAGTCAATCAATAAATTTGAATGAATTGAACTAGTAGTTAGTCAATAATTTAATTTGTGTATGGGATTCCCCAAGTCAGTAAAGCAACTAACTTGACTGAAAAATATAATTAATAACCGAATCATGTATTCGCTCTATTCTTAACACTGATTATGGTTGAAAAATTGTATTTGTTGTATCGAATTTGCATACTACTGTAAAAGAATATCAAGACTCATGGTAAAAATGAAATATATATCACATAGCGTTTTTGGTTTCAGCTTTTGCATCATACTTAATCAATTAGTTGCAGCAAGTTAGTTTGTTTAGTTCATAATAGATACTTTCAGTGACTTGAATTGTCATAGCAACCGACAGCACAAACAGTAGAATAAGGATTAAGGAAATTGAAAATCATGGGGGTGGCGGGTTTTCAGCTATAACAATTACACTTTAAGGATTAGAACTAAAATCTTTAGTAAATAATTTCTCATCTTAAGGTAGTAAACTACATGTATTATGGTAAAGATTTTAAAGTTTGTGATTTGTTTGTATGCATTAGCCTGACCTTCTTCAGTGTTGTCAGTTTATATTATTGAACTTGTCGAGTTTCGTAAATAAACATTAGGTTGTTAGTTTGATGGTACACTTAGCCCATCACATCCTCACCTCTACGCAAAACTTTGCTTCGGTTACTACTGATCTGATGATGTTACAAGTTGGTTCTGTAGTTTTTTAATGAAGATGATTTAACTTGACCATCTTGTTTATTTGTTTTGTAGTTCATCGTATTCCCGAATCTGTCTTTCCAGAAATGCATTTTGAGGATCGGCTTCATATGTATTTCAAAAAAATTGATACTAATAGCAATGGATTCATTGAAGACGATGAATTAGCATCATGGATCTATAAAACTTATGAGTAAGCTTAGTACATCTAGTCTTTTGAAACGTATTATCTTTGAATATATATTCCATTGAAGACCATAACTTTATCGGATTTGCATGCGTACGTCAAATTAAGTTAGCGTTTATTAAGCAGTCCTTAGTTTTCAAATATACAAAACCAATTTCTCTGATTATTGTATTTTATGCACTATACTACCAACTTTGCTAAAAATAATGAAACTGAATCTTCCTTTTCAAACGACATAAAATTTATGAGTTCTTTCATGTACGGAAAAAATAATGCAGTGAAGCACAGTGATTATATGTCAAACACACTCTCTAGGCTATATATAAACCGTACTTATTATGGGAGATTCAAAGATACAGTGTGTCGGAATCTTAACTATTGCATGCTGCGACAAACGCTAATTGAAATACTCCTACTTTTTCTCATTTAACCAATTTGTGTTAATGGGGGAATCGACGGGGGCAGAAAGATTCTTATGTAAATTATATGTAAACTTTAATGTTTTCACCACTATCCCTTGCTGTGAGGGTTTTTTCTGATTTAGAATGAGCCGAGTTAAGTATAATATCCAATAAATGCCAAACACTGGAATAATTTAAGAGTATAAGTGCCTGAATGTCAGTAGGTAAGGCAATTTCCGAACCAGTAGTTATTTCTGTCAATTGTTTTTAATGATTCCAGGAAGAATCTCAGTTTTGCGATTTAATGCTTTGTCTCCCAATTTCTATGACATTGTTGTTAGGAGCCCGCTTCGATTCACAAATGTCTATGTTTAAACTAGCGGTGGAAATAAGGCATATCGACGACTGTGAACCAGAAAACGTTATTTAGTTACGAAATAATTCAAGATGAAAGTAGTAATACAGTTGTAATCAATAAACGGTTCTCACTTAAATAACGAACCTTTATATATGAATTATTCTTTTCTTCACAAACTGCTACCAACTATAATGCAAGAATGAATTTTTCACCGAAGCCTGATTGCTTCAATCACATACTTTATTTGCTCCAGATTTTCTTATTAGATTATCATCACCATATATTGTTTCGGGACTAGAGATGTCGTTAAGCTATTTTAAATGGAATAACTAACCGAGGTTTTACATTTTTGACTTAGTTATTAGTTAAGTACTTAGGTTACAGAATTAATTTAATATTTATCAGTGATAATTTTTCGATACTTACTCTAATAGTGTAGTAGTGGTTAAATGGTGAATACGTTTTGATTCTAACAACCGATTTACAAATGCAAACCCTGATTTAGGTTTGAGCAGCAAGGTAGAATGATTATGCGTCCTCATATTAAAGGTTTCTCATACCCAAGTAAATTAATTTGTATTTAGTTATAGCTTGGATCAAGTCAAACTCACTGGTTTTCCAATACAGGAACTATTTAGGTTAAACGGTAAGAGATTATTAAAAATCCATTAAATATCAGACAGGTTCCGAATGATCTGACGTGAAATCCACCTATCCTCAAGTGACGCTTCCGTGAGTATAGTTCTCTTTAATAGCTTTTTGGATTAATTATTCAGCTTGATGTCCGGTGGATATTTTTAGGTATTCGTTAGTCTGAGAAATCAAATTCGTATAACATGTCTTGAAAATGACACTTAAATTATTTGTTTTATCTTAGAACCAATTGCTAATCTGCTCTTTTTTATTTATGAAAACCTCACTAGTTGTAATGTGATTCGAATATAAAACTAAATAGTCTCGCAGTATCCACATGTATGTTGGCTAATATTAGTAGGAAGACATAGATTTGCTCCAAACATTTTACTTATATTTTAAATAAACAATGTACATTCCATATTACAGATCTTTGGATCGTGAGCATGCTGAAAAACAACTTACAAGATTTGATGTGAATGAAGACGGAAAAGTTTCGTTCGAAGAGTATATAAATCAAACGTATGAAACTTCTGAAGAGGAATTAAGACATTCAAAAGACGACAAATCGTTAAAATTTATTTTAGAAGTCAGTGGTGAAATTTTATTAATTTTACGTGGTTGTGTTTATCAAGTGACTAAAAACATTAGTATTTAACTAATTCCCATAACCTTTTATTTCATCAAGTTTTTGGTTGTCTTATCAGACCTTGGATTCAGAGCTGCAAAATTAGTTTATAATTATTTTTAAATAGTTTCCAAACACTAAGAGAACTAGAGGCTGTCATCATTTTGTTAAATGATGCTATCTGCTATAAGTAGTATATCTGCCTAATATAAACCATCCTCATGAAATCAGTGATAAATAATTATCTCGTGATACCATGTTAAGCGGTATCAGGAAACAAAGGTGACCACTTTCAGTATGAACCCATATTTAAATATATTAATGGAAACCATACATACTTGAGATGGTGGAGAAGATTTGTAGCTCAGGTGGATGATTTTGACTTTCTTTTGCTAGCGTTTTTCAGCAAATTCTTTCTTATGACGAGGTGATGCTAACGCCGCACCCGATTCTCCGTCACTGTCTTGGAACTGGAAGTAATCCTAAATGAACTCTTGACGGTGTCGCTAACTGACTGGAAGTGTAAACTGATGAAATAAATGAAACCGATTCTACTAAATTAAACATATTTTTTGCATCTTCTAGCTCTTATTATTGTAGACTGATCAATAAGTTAAGCATTCTGCGCATGGAAATCAGTTGCTTTTACGAAATCCCTTATTATATTTTATAGTTATTAAAAGATGAACGATTACGTTTCAACTTTGCTGATAAAGATAATGATGGTTTATTATCACTAGAAGAATTCACTTTATTCTTACGACCTGAAAATTATGAAGATATGGCAAATTATGAATTGCAAAAAAGTTTTTCCAGTTTTGATCAAAATGGTGATGGTATAATTACGAAAGATGAGTTTACAAATTTTTGTAAGTTTTTTATTGGTTCTCATACTTTTTAAGCAGATTAGAACCTAATAAGCACATGTATATTTATACTTAAAGTACATTTGTGAAGTTAGTGTGAACATTTTTCTCTTCCAATAAATTTATTACTCTTAGTAATAAAAATTGGCTTTAATGTTCGTCGGTTCCTCGTGAAAATTAAAAGCCAATAGAGCTAGTTACGTGTAAAGATTTTGAAGTCAAAAAATGAAGTCAGTGCGTCCATAACCATTACGATAAACCTTGTTTCAAAATTTTGTCTTTCAATGACATAAATTGACGTAAATTTTTGAGACAGACTATGAATAAAAATGGGCACATATATTTAAAATATGAGTAGTAAAACTAGTTCAAGAGAAATGACCGTGACATTTCAAGGAAGGGAAATTTCCTCACACCAATAGAGCTTCACCTAGTGGCTGATAGAAATATGAAAATCAAGGATAATTAAAATAACCCACTGTGTCATTCAATAAAAATTAAGAGAGTTCAGCGCAGACAATTTTTTCGACGAAATCATTTATTGAAACTGTACATTCGTATTTATAGTTGAATGGTAAATATATATCCATAGGATGATAGAAAAGATTGCATCATAAAATGATTCGCGACTCCAAATATCACATAAGGTTGAGTAATAATCAGGGAGTTTATTTATTTTAATTTTATTTATTTTAACATATAGATATTGGTACAAGGAGGCACCAAATACATATGTGCCACACAAATCTCATTTGATATGTTTGAGGGCTGTGATACTACCCAGGTGCCCAAACCGAAGCAGGTGGTTTCCTAGGGGACCACACCCGGAGTCTTCGACCTGCAAGTCTGATCCACAAAGCAGTGGAGCAACGTAAGGAGATGCAGTCCCATGGTAGCCGGTGACCAACGATTGGTTTCTACGCCATTTGTTCCTTCAGGATACTGGAGCCCATGTGCACCAATGGTTTGGAATCAAGGTTTTTCAACTCCCCTAGGTGGACTCTCTGTGTCCACCAACCCGGTTAAAGCGCCGGACATTCGCTTTCCGTCCTTTCAATTTCGTAAACAACACCCCCGCCACGAGAAGGCAATGAATAGAACTTCCCTGGCAGAGGCTATATACGCGTGGCCATGTGAGAGCATTTCGAGAGGAAGAGCGGACTCTCCCCACTCTCGGCCGTACCAGGGCATTTGGGGTCTGGAGAAAAATTGAGGTTCAGAATTATGAAAGATAATTGTCTACGTGACAGATATGAAGAAAAATGAAAGACTAAAGGTCTTAATAATAACCGAATAATAATCACGACAATCTACTAAAGGATAATAATAACTGATGACGGTTTAAAATTAAAAGACTCTACAGAAGGGAACTCGGGACAAGAGAGGGTGAGAAGTTGGACGTATCGTTTTTGTACGCAGAGTTCGGGTTTGAATTGGTGAATCACCAACTCCTCAGCAGTGCATAAATTTTTTATCCGACCTCCCTTCGATCCAGTTCCTTTGATTGTATAGATTATTTTAAACGAAAACGAGCGACGCGTCTGCAGTTGATTAGATACGCCTGTATTGGACTGGTAACTGTTTTGCATTCTCCTCTTAAGAGCCACTCCGGACATTTTTAAGAGATGCGTTTGGGAAGTGATCGCTTTGTGTGGCCAATGTAACCTGTCCCACAGGATCAGGTAAATCAAGGAATATATGGGGGAATTCGATCGTCAGGAGCTAAGTCGAAAATCGAATTTAGAAATAAATGTCAAATTTAACAGTTTTATCCCCTGAAGATCGTTTGTTATCGAGATTTTTGCAAGATACCCTTATGTTTTAGTCTACCTCATACTAGTTCTTAATTTAAAAGTTTTTCATGTCTGCTTTTTTTTAACCGCGTTGGTAATGTGTCCAACCTTACACTAAATGTAAGAATGTATAGTTTTTCGCCTATGAATGTATGTATAATTGTGTTGACATAAATTCATTCTTTTCATCGTACTTATCCGTCATAGAAAGTGATGATTCTGTGTATTCCGGGATAGTTTAGCGATATTATTATTTTACGGTCGATTTTCTACAAAAAAGTTGCAGTTATATTCATTTGCATAGGAATTAATGCATAAGATATTATGGTAGCTAGGCATTATGAAGTGGAGCATTCCCATTTCACAAACATCCGAAATTTTAATTTCTACTAACTGGAATATCACAAATATATTATTATTTTATTAGTTTGAGGGTATTGGTTTATTTTCTCAAGGTGTCTAATAAGTATAAGTGAATTAGTCTATACTCTGAGAAATATCACTAAGCTAACACTTCATCTAAAAGTATATGATTTAGTGTCTTGTATTTTACTAATAGAAACAAACGTTTGTTTGTAAGTAAGTCTTCTATAAGTTATTTCTTGTATAAAACTCACTTAAGGTACAATGTGGATCTGCTACTGTGGTTTGTAAAGCTCCTATATCCACTAGTGTGATCAGAGATTGGGAGAATGCTCTAGAATGGGTGTGTGTGTATTGATTGTTGTTCCCAATAAAGTTATATGAAGTATCTTTACTACACAGATACTGGTGCCACAAAAGTGAAAGGGCAAAAGCCCACACCCAGTACTTGAAACAGGTTGATACGTTAAATCGATCCAACTTAAAGAGTTGAGATATATACCAACGGTACAAATGGGTTTTAGAGACTGTAACAGATATGTGAGGTATGAACTTATACTGATCATAGACTACCATTTAAATGCTTCTTTCCACCTTACACCACTGTCTTATGGATTAGATCTCAAGGTTAAATGCTCAGCAGCTGGTTCTCTAAGAATCTCTAGAATTATTGTGGTCTTTACAGCATTCGTGTCCGTCTCAAAACAAAAAAATCAAACCTGAATTCTTTTATGTTTAATTGGGTTAAGATTTCCTTCGTCACTTATAAGTGAATAAATAAACCAAATGTGAATTACTTAAAATCTTATATTACTTTGAGTACTTTTTGATGATTTATTTTTTTCGTGAATAATTCTGCAATACTGATAACTACATATTAACGTATAACACTTAATTTTTGAAAAAAATTATAATTTATTTAGCCTATCGAGGTGTATCACAAGAGAATTATTTACATGAACAATTCAGTAATCTTGACGTTGATAAAAATGACATACTCATTCTGGATGAATTACGGCCATGGTTATTGCCTTGTAAGTTAATCATGATTGTCTTGAGAGGATGTCGCAATTCGTAGATGACATTCATTCTACAACATCATGCTTTAAACTCACCATCTTTAATCTTTTATTATCTAATCCCTGAGTTAACAAATATTGGGATGTAAAATTTTATGGGATGATACATGCAAAGGAAGTCTGATCCTCCGTAACCTGTGTTTTAAGGTAATAATACTCGTTCAGTTATTATCCCTATTGTACCCTAACAGGGATTGTGAGATCTCAACCATGATTAAGGTGCTAAGGTAAGACGTCGAACATCTTAGGCTTAGAGAAGTTAGATTTCACAAGCATATAGTAGAATCGCTGTCACCGATTCGTGCATCAAATGACATCTAGATTAACGTTGTGACGGCCCAGAAGATGGCGTATGTTAATATGAACCTCTTCAACTTCCGCTATATATAAATTGATATAATCTACCACATCTTTAATAGCACTCATCCTACTACAATAGAATTATTCTATTTATCAAAGAATACAGTGAAATCACCAGCTTAATCACTAAATAGTATATTACATTACTTGATAAACTGTTGATAGCCTGGTTATTAGCAAATAATACACAATTGGATTTGTAGATACTTACCGATTCATCTTCAATAATACACATATTATTTCTTATTGTAAAATATACTCATTATTTATTATTACTTCTAAAAAAAACTTAAATTATCTGAATTGCTTTTTCATTTAGCTTTAAAAGTGGCTGCAAAATCAGAAGCAACACGATTAATGAATCTCACAGATTCTAATCATGATGGTAAACTTACATTAGAAGAAATCTTGGCTACATCACATTCATGGAAAGATAGTCAAGTTGTTAAACATGCGCGGTCATTATGGGATGAATTGTAGAGGTAAATGAGCATAACGTATCTTCTACTATTATCTCTGTAACTCAATTATGTCCAGTTATGTAATCTGGTCGTTGTGTGTAGTATTTTATCATTCCGTATCTTTTCAAGTTGATAATAAAACACTGAATTTCTTTTTGTGGCATTTACTGAACGTCTGTGGATTTTCATCTTTTCGCATCTTTTTTCCTCAATCTGTTGTTACAAATTCACTTTTAATTTGTTCTCACTAAAAACCATAAATGCAGTTGTATATTTTGTTTCTTTTTCTCACATTTGCCATTTGTTCTTGTTACTTTTATCAGTTATCTTCAGCCAAATATTTTGTAAAAATGTCTTTTGTGGTTAGATAGACATTGTAAGACTATTCTCTTCATCATTCGACTAACCATGCCACTTACGGGAGCAACGTTGAGATAGTTGAATAAATCAGACATTTACAACAAAAAATACTTTGAAAAATACTAGCTCAACTTTCCAAAATGAAGCTCTGATTCTTCAATAGGTAGTAAATCTAAGGTACTGGAATCGATTTGCGTTCACTTAACTTATTAATTTATTCGATTAATAGATTTATTTGTGATTAGTTTATCTCAAACCACTTAGATTGATAAACCCCACTCGTTTAGGTATGGTTGATGGATGAAATCAAAATTCTGAGTGGCTACACGTTTGCTTGTCATGTTTTGTAGTTGTCGAACTTTAATACGCAATTTCTGAATAGGCCCTAATTTTGTTATTATCAAAAATGTTTTGGTCAGCCCACATATGAATGATAAGTTGGTAGGTAACTGTTTTATCACACTAATTTTCTTCTCAAGTCTCTCCATCCTATTGTAAATCTAGTTGAGTATAATTTAAGGAGAAACTAGTTGGTTTAGTAACTGTATAATTTATGTAGAATGAAACATCAGTGATTGGTCTAACTTAATATAAAATGTTTATCTGAATGGAACTATTCACAGAATAATTCACTAAATATATAATCATAGATAATATCAATTTCCTGATTAGTGATTTATGACTTGTAAATGATAGATTCTATGTCAAATATTGAGTTCTAGGTTAATTCCTTAAAATGAGTCCCCCAATTTATCACTCAAGAAAGTTCAGAAAAATTTAATAAGAATCCCAGTAATTTCCAAAACGTACGTATACTTATATTGAATTGACCTTACATTTCATCCATTCGTTTCAGCCAATTTTACGGACAAAATATTTTTATTTGAAACTTCAAACTACTCACAAGTATTAAAATTCCGATCGTGAAAATCAGAATAACAGAAGTAGCTAAACACGGAAACTCAAAGCACCTCGTTATCAATTGGTTAAGTAAAATAAGTTGTGCTATTGTTTTTTAGGGGATTTCTTTCAGTAAGTACCACTTAGCTTTTGTTCTATTTATAAACAAAGATGGATGGTGGCTAGCAATGGAATCCAGGTCGCGTGTTTCGTCCTATTTCGGACTCGTCTGCTGGATGTACCTGCATCCCAGACTTGACGTTCACTCCAGGAGATACAAGCAATCATTATCAGGTGAATTTGTGGTTTTATTTAGTTTAACAAAACCTAAATTTTTCCCTTGAAGCTGAACTTAATAAATGTGAACCCCTACTATTTTTTCACTAACTATTTAACAGCAAATGTCCGATATAAATTATTTGCTGAAGTGACATATATGTAGCCTAGATAGATTTTCCAAGCGACACCGAAACTCATTAGTCTCTATTCATAGTTTCAGGTGTCTAAAGCTTCATAGAAAATCTAGTCGGTGTAGTTCGCTTCATTGTATGTATGCAATACAAGTCGAGTACCTAAAACTGTCTAGACTTTCTGTGTTTCTTCATAATCTGAAGGTGGTTTAACACCTTGAACTCGGCGGATTTTCACTATCCTCTAACTCTATACAATAGTTTCATGTTACCATCGTTAACACAAAGCGTACTATTAATTATGGTTTTTATTCTACATATTACTTTCAACAATAATAATTGTTTGACGGATAGATGTTTATCCGATTACTTAGGTTTTCTTAAGTATTAATATTGACCTAAATACTAAGTTAACTGAATGTATTTGAAAATAAATTTGTATTCACCACCTGTTTATCAGTGTCTACTTTTTTTCTTAACGGATATATATTAATAAATGGAATGGACTGGAACAAGTGACTAGATGTATGCTTAGTAGTTTTTGTCTAATTGTTACTTTTTTCTGCCTAAAAATTCCTTTATAATCTAATCTTAATTCTGGTTTTTATAGTTATAAAATATTATCAATTAGCTTGTCTCCAAAAGTCTATATTCGTATTTTTATGCAGATAGTTGGTGACTAAGTAGAAGGCGAGAAAATACACGTTGTCGTATTTACAGAACCAGGAAAAGATATGTAGACCGTACCAGTGTAGTGCGTGAAGTAAAAAGTTAGTTTACTTCCATAAATGTTGGTAGTTTTTGGAATTTTTAGCTCAAAAGGATGATTTTAGAGTTGTTTTGCTTTATGGACTAGATAATTTTATCATGAAGGCTAAATTCCTTATGGACAATATAAGAGAATATTCGTGAAAGACATTAGGTACCAGGATTTCTACTTAAGTTTTTAGCAGTTTATTCTGTTCATCTAGAGTGTGATCAGTTAGTTTGGTAAGTTCTAGAATTCAATGGATTTAGGCTGTTTGCTAGTTTGGTTTATTAAGTTTGCAAATCATTATTTATGTTGCTATGCTTTCGGGTAGTTTACACGACTCTAGCCCCTTACGTAGTCTTATAAACAAGCCTAGGTTCATAAACCGGAACTAACCTCAAGATAAATCATAGATATTGTAACTGCCGTCTTAATTTTTCAAGTATTGAGCTTCGTAGAATGATAGGAGCCTAAATGTCGTCGGGAAAGCCTTTATTGAAAGCATTCGATGTCCAACTTTAACAGTTTAAGCTTTTCTTCAAAATTAACTGGTCATCTAAAAGAAATAAATTTCTACCACATAGTTGGTTTAGTTTAATGTATTTGATAAAACTCGTTTCAATTTCATTGTGGTCAAGTATGGCTTTTGGATGTACTTCTCTCCTGATGGCTTCCAGCCAGTCAGCCAACGAAGAAACAAAAATGAGGAAACTCCGCATAACTTTTATTCTAGTCGAAGACTTTTTCAGTAATGCACTCTCACACGTATACAGATAGAAACTGGGACTTCGAAGTCAAATGACTAGTCACTTATAACTGGAATCATTTCACCAAAATAGAGATTCCTGATTTTATTTGACCTGATATAATATTTTAAGGCAATATTGAATATCTAGTCTATTATTGAACAGTGAAATGTGCATCTGCAGTACATATTTTGTAGCTTTCGATTAAATAACGACAATTAGAATACTAAAAATCATTTGAGGGCTACATCAGTAACATTATTCATACGTTCGTTTATTTTTATAATATATCCTAAAGATCACAGCATACTGCATTAAACAAAATGCAGTAATTATATATTGCTGTCTCTTAAAGATCTGTTTGTATTTATTCCAGAAAGTTATTGTTAGTTGATTACAAACTGTGTAGACTTTCATGTGCCAGTTTCATTGAATTTCAGATATGTTAGTACATATGTAATTTATTCAGATCGATTTTTTTTCATACTTTTGTTTGCAATGTGAAATGTTTTTTCATCTAATGAAGAACAACACAAAAATGAATTTGGGCGGATGATAAACTGTTCAGTGTTTTTATTTGTTTATGGTCGTTCACTAAATGTTATAAGCCGTCAGTTTCAGCCCATATGACCAGTTATCTAGTGGGGACATAGCATCTGTCTTCAGTTGATCATGATTTTGTCCGTCACTTTAAATTAAATCATGCTCACAACAATTCGAACTGTTATCATAAAGGTACCCCAATAGTTAAAGTAATCGTAATATTTAGTGGCCAGTTGTACGTTTATTAACTAGGAAATTTGATTATGTAATTTGATAATACCTGTTATTTTGTTAAATGACATACCACGAAATGATGTTCATGATTATTTTGAGCAATGAAGATGTACCTAGAAAATACTTATCTTGATTTTAGTGAATGTCACTAAGTGTTTAAACTATGGCAGTATGATTTCTAATACTGTCCCTTCTAATCATGCTAATTTCACCTGTATGCGGGTAATTCACATAAGATAACTATATTTCGACGTAAGTCAGGAACATTTGCCCTATTTAAAAAGAGAAAATATCAGTTCTGTATAAAAAAGATTGAATATCAATGTTCTGGAAGTTTTAGGTTTATGGATGATAGTTGTATGGCTGAAGCGTATCATGTTTTCCATGTATTTATATTCGAAGGTTTAAAAATAAAAATTAACCTTCATGAGTTCACTGAAATGATAAAAAATGACTCGTAAACATACTGGGAAAAGTGTTCATTTTTTTCGAGTTTTAACTCCATAGTACATTGGTTTGATCATTCATGAAAAACTTGTTTTTTTATATTCAATTACTTCACCATAGATTTATCAGTTTATATTAAGTACCGTGTTATAGTCCATGCAACAATTATCCAGCTGCATGATGAATGTCTTTCAAAGTTATTTTGTGAGATAAATGTTTGAATTATTCCATCGATACGTTATTTTCGGCTAACTCTTGTCTTCAGTTTAGAATACACCACAAATTCAAGAGATCTTAATATTGCCAACCGCCACTTAATTTGCTGATTCAGACAGCATCACTCACGAAAATGTAACCACTAAGAAAATGAATGGTTCTACTCAACGTTTATCTTCAAGTTATGTAAATACTGTTTCATCTTTTCAAAGTAAGTTTCTACAGGGTGGATTTCTGAGACACTTCACCCTTAAGAGGGTCTAAAAATCACTTCGGATTTTTTATAAGATTTTCTCAAAACTTGATAAATGAGTTTATCGTAACTTCAGATAAGTGCAGTTCCACAATGAAATGTACCTGTCATCGATGTTTCTAAATGACCAACTAAGCGTGATTATATGATATCTGTAAAAGTAAAAGGGAAAATAATCATTCATTATATAGCAAAGTTCTTACTTAAATGTCTATTTAGTACGAAGGTTCTGAATTCAATCAACCATAATCGCTGAAATTCATGCACCACTTAAAAAATTCCGGTCACTGATCACCTTTTCCTATGGTTCGGAAATGGAATTTAGTGCATATGACATATATATGTATGTCGAAAGTAAAATGTGAGATATTTGTACTTCATCTTTTTGTCATAAGCTTTAAAATACTAGTTTAAATAACTTGTCATATGTCATATACATACCTCAGTGATGTCAAAGCAACGTAAATAGATAGTTTTGTTTTACTACGTGTTTGTTTTATCCTTCTTCTTCTTCTTCTTCTTCTTCTTCTTCTTCTTCTTCTTCTTCTTATTATTATTATTATTATTATTATTATTATTATTATTATTATTATTATTATTATTAATGCCTTTATTCAGTATTATATTTTTGGTACAATATAGAATTCTCAGCAGAAAGTATTTCATCAAGTTTTTTTTATTCCTTAGTCGATCCTGACAATAAATATAGAATGATCGCCAGTTAGATGTTGGCAGTTCAGGAATCGAGATCTGATTAATGTATATTCTTTTTGATGCATATTGCCATTCATCATGATGTCTCCGATTGTACACTTTTGTATCATGTAGTTTGTAAATTTTTCACAAACGTACATGAATAGGTTATGCGACTAATAGGCATAATGATTTGTTAAACAAACAAGAAAACAGATAACTTGTTGAAATATCCAGATGGCAGGAACAGGTAATCCAGATATTCAAACAGGCCGCGTATTCATCTATGCTATGATACATAATTATTTAAACCAGTGAATGAAAGATAGGATTGAATTTATTACTAGTCAAAGTAAACTTTGAAAGCACACATCTAGACAAAAAGAATGTGTTCCACACACGTTTTTAATGTTAAAAGCTATTGTACGGGAATACGAAAATAAAGAAAAGACAATGACCAGCGAGTTATTATTCCTGATAATTTTGTATGAAAATACTCTGGGAGGAGTTGAACTTTTTTCAGACTCTTAACCAAGAACAAGCAGTTATCTTTAGGGTTAATGAAAATCAAATGTAGGAGATAATCCTACATGACATTTAGATTTTGCACGTGTGCCATATGAATCTTAAGTGAATTTACTTATTATATAATAATTATTTATAAACAATTTTATGCCTCGTTTATCATTGTTATAAATATGTTCTTTTTACTACTATTACAGTTGTTTTTATCAAACTGTATAAACGTTTTATGCATAAACCTCTGATATTAGATGGTGGTAACTTTCTCTTATGATGACATCTTAGTTTATGGCTTCTAATCTAATAATCTTATATCGATTTAATTGTTAGACAAAATGTATTTTCATCTATTTAATTTGATAACATTCCTCATTATTTTGTTTACTTGTCTGTGATTAACTTAATGGAATTTCACAAACTGTGTAGTTTTTATTTTGTATGCCTATATATTTAAAATCAAGTGATATGAGTTCCATACTTTAACTAGAATCGGTATGATTATGGGCAATATATATGTAATAATAAATTGAACTACTTTGACTAAATACCAGTTCTTATGGAATGACTTGAGGTTGTGTCATGTGGACAACAAATGTGTATCAATATAATATTTTGTAAACGTTGAGTAGGCTTTAAAAAATGTCTGCAATTTATAATCTTGACGATCACAAATAACAGTTAACGAAATATTATAATTTTAAATATCTTTGCATTTGTTGAAATACTATTTGATACTGTTACAACTTCTTGTAAGTGACCAAAAAACTTGATACAACTCATAGAATAAACTTTTTCAGTCTACTGTAGTGCAGCGAATTAATCTAATACCTTTTTATTATGAAGCTAAATTTAGAAAAGAATTTCCAGTTAAGTTATTTGATTTGTAGCATAGTTCTTGATTTTCAGACAGGACCTCAGCTATATATAGAGTGTGAATGTAGGCGGAGGGATTCTGAACTAAAACTAGACAGATTGTTTACCCAGTTGATTCTAGATTAAAATTGATAATATCTTCATAAACGATTTAATTAAAGAGCGAATGTTGGATTACTTTTAATGTTATGTAAAATATTGACCAAAATTAACAAACCGGTATACAGGCAACTGTTTATTTAATAAAATACAAGAATCCTTTTTAATTAAACTTTCAACACTAAAGTGTATTCTATCAAACAGCGTAAACAGTAATTATACACTTAAGAAAAAATCATATAACAGTAAATGAGCAATGCAAGAAGTTATCAAACCCTCCAATAGTTTTAGTAATGTACCAAATATTACTCATTGTACTTATAGATGACTTTATAAATGGCACCCATCTGATATAACCTGAAATTTATTAACAATACTTAATGAACAGTCTATTCATTTATATAGATTTATTTGTTCGAAAGACAAAATTTTTAAAATCGCCAATTATATCTCTAATATTTGATTGTCTGTTACGTAGGATACCGGCGAAATATCATTAGGACAATCATATTTTTGAAGTAGTTAGTCCCTTTGATAAATTTGCGTGGTGTAATAAGAAGACGAAGATTACTAGAACTATGTGGTATATTAGCGCAATACATTTCGAACAATGTGATCACGCATATGCTTGTTAAGAACATTTATATATAAAAATAAAAGGTTAACTAGACTACAAAAAATTAGTCAGTCGTTTAGATGATATTAATATCAAGGGAAAACAATGTGTTCATTTGACGTAAATTCCTTGTTCACAAATGCACCTTTGAAAATGACTATTGATATATTATGTGACCACATATCTGTGAACAACCTTAAATCACCTTTCCTTTGAAAATTCTTAAAGATTTAGCACTATTATCTACTGACAAAGTCCAGTTCACATTTGAATGTGAATACTTTGGCCAGATTGACGGGGTTGCTATGGGTAGTTCGTTAGGACCATTATTAGCAGACGTGTTCGTGACACATGTTGCAGATCTAGCTGAAGACCTAGTCGAAAACATCTTACTTTATAAGAGACATGTGGATGATATCTTAGTTATCTCCGAAAGAAAGAAGGATATGAATTGCTTATTGAGTAGACTTAACACTCCAAAACCACATCAGTCTCATGCGAAGAAGAGAAGAACGACCAGCTTCCCTTCCTAGATATACTTCTAAGTAAATGAGAAGATGGCTCAATCAAACGATCCATTTTTAGAAAACCGATGTGGACAGACCAATACCTTTGATACTATAGTTACTGCCCAGTGCAGTACAAACGAGGTTCGATAAGGGACCTGTTTAGTAGGATTAATCGTATATGCACAATCGGCGCTATTGATGACGACGTTTGGTTGTTAGACAACACAGTGGAAACTGGCTATCCTTTAAAATTCATAAATAGATGGAAAGGTCATGGTATAGTGAGGCCTACTATAACCTTGGCAGAGAAAAACATGTTCACACCATTTTTCCGTTTCGAAGTGATTCAAATAGCTTTTTACTGAAACAAAGGCTTAAATCAGTTGTCAACAAGACGTATTACTCAGCAAAGGTCTTTGCCAAGGAAAAAAACAAGGTCCATGCTTCACCAAAAACCTGAAAAGCATGAAATCGATTGCGTCACATCCCATTGTGTTTATAAATTTACATTTGTGAGGCCACACATACATGGGGAGGAGTAATCGTGATCTCCAAATTAGGGTGTCCGGATATGTACCTAAATGGCTGCAAACACAAATAAAATCAAATGACCTAATGAGAGTAGGTGATAAACATCCATCATCCTCTATTGCTAGACACATAGTTGAAACAGGTTATAAGATTGACACAGTTTTTGTGGTGTTGTAAAAAAGTGTAAAAGGGTGTATACTAAGGTTTATTGAAGCCTTAGCCATATGAAAATTCAAACATCCTTTATGTATTTAAAAACATTTGTTCTCACCTTAAACCTATCCTGGTAATATTAGCTTATTATCCAGCGTGATGAGGCTTCAAGTAGTTGTTCATATTATTTTCTTTATCTTTGTCTCCACTTACCCTCCATTTCTAGTCTAGTTGACCCTTTATTTTTATATACGAACGTTCTTAACAAGTATATATGTGATCAGATTGTTCGGAATGCATTGCGCTAATATATTGCATAGTTCTGACGATTTTCGTCTTCCTACCACACTATCCAAACTATATAATTAAAAATTACATCATTCAAACTACATAGTATTTTAAATTATCTTAATGTCACAAAATTCCAAAACAACCGAACAAACCGTTATGAACAAATAAAAATAAAAGTAAATTATGACCTTACAGCTGAAAACACATCAACTATGAAGCAAAACATGTTTACGATTCACTTCATTACAAACTGTTCAGGACAATGTTGAATTAAAATGTTTATCTGTCCAAAGTACATTATATAGAAATATTTTTACGAGATAAAATGAAGAATATTCCATTCTACATTTTATCATGTGTATAACGAATAATTTTCTTCATTCTATAAATACAATACAAATAATAACAGTAAACATGACTTATTTTAGACAGCAATCTATAAATAACGTTACATTAGGATTTATTTTATTTTCAACAAACATTATTGTTATCAGTGGAGATCAAATTCTTCAAAGATGATTAATCTTAACTGTATTACATTTCCTATCAATCGTTTCTATCCACAACTTCAAATATGATTCTTGTCAGCTTAAGTTTGAGAACTAAGAGTTTTATCATATAGAAACGTAGAAAGTATATGGTGACCCGGGACGAAGTACAAAGGAGTATGATATATATTAATCTAACTTTATGAAAACTCATTAAATTTGATTAGCAATGACTGAATGAATTGATTGTAGAAACAAACTCCTCAAGATATCTGAGTACATTATATTAGTTTCTAAGATATCACAGCAGATGATAGCTTAAAACCTATTTTGTATTACTATCTTCTCAGTGTAATAAACTACATTATAGGAGTGCGAGAATTAAAATTAGCGGAATTCAACTCGTTACACTAGTAATTTTCAGGACCATTCAATCCGTACCCTAGTTGTCAATAGTAGGAAAGTATTCAAGTCAAAGGAAAAGTATTGAGCACACTTGGATGTATAGCATTTCGTACTTGGAATCAGGCAGGAGACAATCTGCAAAAGAACTATCATTATATCCAAACATCACAAAGATCCAGGCTGCGTTTATGTGACTGTCATGTTCACTGTGTTACTTTCGTATCAAGTTATTTAAATGCTGTATTAAAAATTGTTTTTTCGCTTCCCATAATAGATGTGGTTAACTTCGACACTCATTTTTTGCCAGGCTAAAACCATTCATTAAGACTAAGAGGAGAAATTTCATTTTCGCAATGACTCAAAGCTGAACAGCATGATCACTATAAAAAACTGCTTAATTGTTAACACTAAGTTCAGTTTAAATTCCAAAGCGACAGTAGTAAAACAGATTCTAAGAAATATATAGATTAGTTTCTACGAAATAGTAGGATTTTATTATGCTGCTTATGGTAATTAGTAAATAGGATAATGTACTGATAAATCATGGTTTCAAACATGTTTTTAATGAAAAACGTATAGCAAAGTATTCAAGGAGCTTTTATATTATATATGTAGTAAGTAAGAGCACGATTCCGTTTGTCTGATGATACGTTTTCACTGTAGAAACTTTGTATTTGGATCACTGAACTCACAACAGCAAAGGGATTTGTATGTACCTCGCGAAAACTAATATTCCGAATCTATTTTTATTTGGGAGTATTTGCAAAACTATTGTATAGCTGCTTGTTGAAAATTGAATAAAGTAATCCCTTGTATAAGCATGGAAACGATTAACATTTTTATGATCTGAAGTACAGGTTTATTTGTAGTAATTCAAAATTTAAATATTTTTAGCACCAAATTTCCATATTCGAAATTTACACTCAATAGTTAAAAGTCAGTGGGTTTCATGTAGAACATTGTACGGCTGTGTTTTATACGAACTGTTGTACATAATCACTGTATCAGGGATGAATATTAGCCTGAAATATTGTGTAATTCAAATGTCTAATGAACAACTCATTTCTGATAATGTGATTTCAGTGTTTCGAAAATCTTTTTTCTTTGTTATCTTTCGAATAGAATTTTCAGTGGGTACTGGGTTAAGATATTTGTTAAGACTGAAAAATACTACAGACTGAAAATGAGCTAAAATTAGTCAAATAAAGGTGAAAATTAGTCAACACAGTCAAGGAGTACCGAAAAATGTACCGATTTAAGTAAGAATTTGTTTCACACATATATCACAAGTTTTACAAGTGTACCTAGATTGCATATGATCAATGTGATGCGCAGATTAAACTATCTGATTTGATTTGTTGAGGGACAAAAGTCTTTTAAGTTTCTTTAGACGTTGTCCCCTTTTTCAAACGTAGTACATATCATTGTCATCATGGGATATTTAATTTTTCACTTTAGGATTGATAATGTTTGGTTTGACCAATTATCATTGTTTTCATTTATATAAATGAATCATTTGTTTAATTAAATTAGTTTCTAGTTTATATTTAGTAGGTAGTAGTTATGTTTTACATTCAGAGTTACAA